AAAATTAAATTCCACCTATGGTCCGGTAATCATATCTGATAGGTGTGACACCTCGCCTAGGTGGTGGCGACCCTTGCTACTGTAGCTAGTCGTTATGCAAGTGGCAAACCACGTTGTTGTTACAGGCCGAATTACTAATCTAAAAAGCCCGCTTGCAAGTTTCATAATAAACGCATGAACAGAAATGAATCTGATGAAAATTTCAAACCTTAAATCGTTAAACGCTGGATTCAGCGAGCGTTTTTCTCGAAATTTTCCGACCTACGCCAATAATTTTCCTGGAGTCTGGTTACCGAGTACTTTCGTTAAAAAAAAATTTTGAAAATCCGAGCACGTAAAGTAATTATCAAAGTATTATTAAGTAAAAAATAAATTTGGCTGATATTTTTGTGTATTACAAGCAGAATATAAATTCTTCGCTGATCTTAGAAACTTATACCTTTTTATATAATTATTTCATAAATTAAAATGTACAATATTATTGAAACTTTTTTTTTTAATTTTAAGCATTATTATTATATTAAAGAGAACCATAATACTTTTCAGAAAAATATTGGTGGCCCTGAAAAGGGCCGTTTTAAGGTATAATTTAACTCGAATTGTGTTTATTTGGAACTTGTGTACTTGGTAACAGCTTTGGTACCTTCACTGACCGCGTGCTTGGCTAATTCACCGGGCAATAGAAGACGAACAGCTGTCTGAATTTCACGACTAGTAATAGTTGAACGCTTGTTGTAATGAGCTAAACGACTAGATTCAGCTGCGATGCGTTCGAATATATCATTTACAAAACTGTTCATGATACTCATAGCCTTAGAGGAAACTCCGGTATCTGGATGTACTTGCTTCAGTACCTTGTATATGTAAATTGCATACGATTCTTTCCTCTTAGGTTTGCGCTTCTTATCCGATTTAGTAATGTTCTTCTGAGCTTTCCCGGATTTCTTCATAGCTTTGCCTGCGGATTTGCCTCCTGGAGCCATATCGATGTGAGACAATTTGGCACAGCACTGAAAACCTAACTCGAGTAATAATGGATGTCGATAAATATTTTCAGTTTTTTTTTTATAGAAAACGATGCACTAAAAAAAGGTTTTTCATTGGTCGGCTTATGATATGTAGGTAAGAAAATGTAAAATATATAAAACAACGCTTGTTATATGAGAAATTACTTTCAATATATGTTGTTTTTGTTCGTCATATTTTATTAATAAATAACAATCATACTGTAAACTATTGTTGAATATGTGTTTAAATAACGTTGATAGAAGTAATTCTTACTATGATCGACAATTACTATTTGCTATTCGCAAATTTAACAGTTATCAAAATGAGTGGACGCGGCAAGGGAGGAAAAGCTAAGAGCGGGAAGTCAAAGACCAGATCGTCTCGTGCGGGATTACAGTTTCCAGTTGGACGTATTCATCGTTTGTTAAGAAAGGGCAATTACGCTGAACGTGTCGGAGCTGGTGCTCCTGTGTATCTGGCTGCTGTTATGGAATATTTGGCCGCCGAAGTATTAGAACTCGCAGGAAACGCCGCACGTGACAACAAGAAAACTCGTATTATTCCAAGACATTTGCAGCTCGCTATTAGAAACGACGAAGAGTTAAACAAACTGTTATCTGGCGTCACTATTGCTCAAGGTGGTGTGTTGCCAAACATCCAGGCCGTTCTTCTTCCTAAGAAAACCGAAAAAAAGGCTTAATTTATCCCGTGTCGACTAACCAGTAATCCAAACTTTTAAAACGGCCCTTTTCAGGGCCATCAAATTTTTCAAAAACACACGTATATTGGTTATCGCTAATGTTTACTATGACCTGCATAAAAAAAAATATACGCCACGATAGTTATACTAAACAAAGTATTCAGTCGGCCTTTGACTGAACTGTTAATCTCCGAAATTCATCTTATTAAAAATCGATCGATAGAAAATGGCAACAAAACCAACACTCAGTTGCGTGTCTACATAAAGAGCAGCTGTCCCTATGGAGCCGCTACGATAATGACGACGTGTAATGGTCGAAGAAACGTCTAAAAATATTTAACACGAGTTGAAATAAATATTTTTAGAATGTTTTTTTATTATTTAAATATATCAATCGTTGAATATATATATATATATATATATATATTATAATAAAATTATTCATACTACGATTCGTAACTTTATGCATATGTACGTTTTGTAGAGTAGTGTCAAAATTTACGAATATTGCCCTTACTTAGTGTAATATAGGTCATTATTTTTTAAAACTGAAAACAGAGCATTTTTGTAATGTTTGGTTTAACTATGAATTTCTTGATCTATTATTACAAAAATATAATATAGTCTATTATTTGTAAANATCTATTATTACAAAAATATAATATAGTCTATTATTTGTAAATCTAGAAGTAGAACACTTTTGTAATGTTTAGATTAATTGTAATTCCCAAATTATTGTTACTATCAGGAAGTAAATATTTATAAACATTTTTGAAAATGATTACTATATGAATTTTATAAAAAGAAAAACAAAATATGTTAGTATATAAGATGAAATGGAATGAATTGAAGAGAGGAGAGAGAGAAGACCTCGGGAGTACCGAAGGTAATCTCTTTCCGTGTGGTACGTTTGTGACATTAAGTTTTTATTTTGGTATATTATTTATTTATCCGTTTTTAAGTGTATATATGTTTTATTTTATTTTGATTGATTATATCTTTATTAACTACATTTTGCGTTATTATTGAACTACTATAACTATAAGTTAGAACAAAAAGATTGTTCCATATATAAATACAACATTAGGTTTCTTTAAGATACCTCAATCAAAAGTTATAAATTCATGAACTTGCGAGCCCTGTTCGTAACATTTTGTTAAACAGCAAATTTGTTCAACTTATTTAAAAAAAATTATCGAATTATATAAAACAGTAAAACAAATGTAAATAAACTTGCATAATACACATAAAATAATTAAAAGAAAAAATTAATTTCTCCTCTTAAAAAAAATATATTATTTCAACTGCATATAATATGTAACGAGACTGTTATCAAAAGTAATGATGTGGCTTCCCTATTAATTATAAACATAACATAAATCAGAAAAAATAAAAAATGACATAGCACTAATTGAGCAAAGGGCTATAAGGGTGGCCCACCACTCACTGACAACTTAAATAACTTTTGATCCAGTTAATATTTTTAGTTGATTTTTTTTTTTAATAATAGTTATACGTTAGGTTTATAGCTATATCTCAATAATTAATTTTTTTACATTTTATTAAAAATATTAATTATTTTTAAATTTTAAATAAAATGTAAAAAAAAAATCTAAGATAGCTATTTTGTAGAGTAGAATTTAAGAAAAATTTTAGTAAAAAAAATATCTTATTAATATTGAGTAGTGAATATTCTGTAGCGTTTTGAAGTTTGTAAACATTTGAATTTTCATGTATTATTTTACGATATTAAACATTGAAATACGCTATCTTTTCAATATACTTTTGAATGAGAGTGATAAGTAATAATTGCCTTATCTGATTTCTTATCATGGTATTAATGCCAAGTTTGTAATGTATAGACATTATCATCATATGTATACACAGTAATCATGAAAAATAATTAATATTTTTAATAAAATGAAAAAAATTAATTATTGAGATATAGCTATGGACCTAACGTATAACTATTATTTAAAAAAAAAATCAGCTAAAAATATTAACTGGATCAAAAGTTATTTAAGTTGTCAGTGAGTGGTGGGCCACTCTTTATATTGGATTTCGATTAATTGAATTAGTTTATTGTTCTCTTTTTAAATATGTAAACGCATATGTACCGTGTTCATATAAAAAAAAATGTTTACGAAATAACAACACGTTTTCATTAATAGATATATATCATCATCATCTTATGGTGGCCCTGATAAGGGCCGTTTTATAATTTGTTGAAGTCCGTTTAAAATTATCAACCTCCGAAACCGTAAAGTGTACGGCCTTGACGTTTCAATGCGTATACAACATCCATAGCGGTAACGGTCTTCCTCTTGGCGTGTTCGGTATAGGTGACGGCATCACGGATAACATTTTCCAAAAATACTTTTAACACTCCACGTGTCTCTTCGTAGATGAGGCCCGAGATACGTTTCACACCACCACGACGAGCCAACCGGCGTATGGCGGGTTTAGTTATTCCTTGAATGTTGTCACGGAGTACTTTACGATGGCGTTTGGCACCACCTTTACCCAAACCTTTTCCTCCTTTACCGCGTCCTGTCATCGTTACTCGATTTGTGTGATTAAACTGTGGATGTTGTTTACGAACACTGTTAATGCATGTCGATATTTTGCCAATTGCTGTATTTAAAGAGTTCCCGTTACGAACAAGACGTTCCCATTGGTTATTTGCCAGAGTTACCACCACCGCGGACCGAAACGCTATAACGTGACCAATGAGAACGTATTCGTTGATCCGACTCCACTATAAGTATTGGTGAATCGTGAAAATTTGTTCAAACATTATTCTCGTTCAGTATAACACAGTTTGTTTATCTATCATGGCTCGTACGAAGCAGACAGCTCGCAAGTCGACCGGAGGCAAGGCTCCAAGGAAACAGTTAGCTACTAAAGCTGCACGCAAGAGCGCACCGGCCACCGGCGGAGTAAAGAAGCCTCATCGTTATCGTCCGGGCACGGTAGCTCTTCGTGAAATCCGTCGTTATCAAAAGAGTACAGAACTATTAATCCGCAAACTTCCTTTCCAACGTCTGGTCCGTGAAATCGCTCAAGACTTCAAAACCGACTTACGTTTCCAAAGCTCTGCAGTTATGGCTCTTCAAGAAGCCAGCGAAGCCTATCTCGTCGGATTGTTCGAAGACACCAACTTGTGCGCCATTCACGCCAAACGAGTTACTATCATGCCTAAGGACATCCAATTAGCCCGTCGTATCCGTGGTGAACGTGCTTAATCGGATCTCATCGACTACTCAATCTTTAAAACGGCCCTTTTCAGGGCCAACAAAAAACAATTGTTCGCTAGAGGACGGCACCTCTTGGATGGAATATATGTATGTTATAATTTAGGTATAGATGCGCAAGACTTTTATCGTTAGAGTTCATTATGATGATAGCTGGTCGAAATGGAAGGAGATTGGCTAGCTCGATCTAATGAAAGTAAAATATTTACGTGTGCGTACATATGAATAATTATTTAAAGTAAAATGGGCAGCTATTAAAAAAAAATATCAAATTCTACTGAGATGTGGCGTTTTTTCTTTTACTATATGACTGGCAAATCTCATACTAACCAAGTCTTTTCATTAATATCTATGACTTATTATATATCTTGTTTTAAACCATAAAACCATTTTAATAAAGTTCTCCGCTATTACTGAACCGACTTTGCTGCGTCCAATATACCGATTTTAATCTAGTTCAATCAGCCGTCGCTAAAAGTTTAAATAATCCTTCAATTTTAATAATTATCACAAAATTATATTACCGTAAAAAATGGTATTAACAGTGCATATAATACAGGTCGTAATGTAATATATTAAAGACGACTAGTTTATTTTTGGTATGATTACAATTCCATAATATATTTTTTGACTTGTTTTTATTATATCATACATTATTTTAAAATGGTCCCAAATTAGCAAATAAATAAAAAACTTAGCACTTCTAAATAACTTCAAATAAAAGTTAACAAATAATCCAATATTCTCATATTAACCAAGTCTTTCCTTATGTCTACGACTTATACATCTTAAAATGTTTTTATTTATACGACTTCTTAATGTTTTTTTACATTTCCGTAGTGGTGTTTTAAAATTATGTGTTTTTAAGAAAACGACATACAAGAAGATTTTATATCAAACCAAAAATCAAAAAAACGTCACGAAAACACAAATAAACGCCCAACAACACATCAAGATAAACTCAGCAAGATATCAAGATAACTAAAACAAAGCAACAAAGAGTCAAAACAGCTCAAGATCAAATACCATAACATCACAAAAGAAAACACACCAATAGCTAACTGATTTTGAAACACAAAGAGAGAGTAACAGGTAAAAGCCTGAAACTCAAAAAGCGTAATGGCAGTCATACAAAGCATAGCAATTTATTAACATAAATCGAAGATCTTTTACTTATCCGCCGTATAAAAAAAATTACTAGTTGGTACGACTAGTTGATTTACGTTGAACGATATCTATTCCTAACAGCAATTTTCGCGGGCGACATAATATTCTAAAACAGCAACCTCAGCATCAACTTTGCAATAATCCAATTACAAAAACGATTCGATCTCGTTACACTATGGATGGTACAGATGCAATTCATTTTTCATGTAAGGCGTATGTAAACTTCTCATTGCAAATGAAATTTCTTTTTGAAACTAACAATATTTGGACGATAATGTGATAAAATTTATTGACTGTTTCGCTTTATCTTGACAGCTTCTGGCCTAATTTAGAGTCCCAGGTTTTTGTTCTTTTCCCTCTATGTTTACTTCTTAGTCTTTCTTTTCCATTGTTTTGTGGTATACTGTTGGTTTTGTGTGTTTAGTTATCGTTTGTTAGTCATTCTGTTATCATGATTATTGACATTGCATTTTGTGCGCTCTGTTAATTGAGTAGCTGTTATTGTTTTTTTATTGTAACTAATAATGTTAAAGGATATAATAATAGGCGCTAATAAAGAAATGCAAGAAATACTTTAAGTCCGAAAATTGGAATCGCTTTTCTTTTCCCTACAAAAAAAACTTTAAGGTCTCACACCAATTATATAATTGGGGTTGTTTTAGATTAAAGTCCTCTTCCTTACCCTAAAATACCCAAAATAATGTCGGAACATTATGAGTTCGTGACTATCCCCGTCATCCGTTTTTATATTAGAGAATTAATTTCATTGAGTAACCTGTCTTATCTATAATTATGCTCTATTATAAGTTATCACTAATAACTTATAATTCCTTAAAATTGTTTTATCATGTGTAGTTTTTGGCGGGAATTATTATCAGGCAATCATTTTCATTCATAAAATATAAAATTAATTATTAGCCGAGTTAATAATTTTTGTTATGCATTAAAATATGATCCGTTTGTTTTATGAATTTAGTGTCTATTGAATTTTTCATGATAAGCTTTAAAAAAATGCAAATACCTTTATTATTTTAAACTATTTATTTAATTTCGAATAATGGAAGGAATGGAAGTCGATTTGGTATTAGATCAAAAATTACCAATAGATTTATGGACAAAATTTAAAAGCATGTTCACATTTATATTAGAAGAAGAGGCAGATTCATTGGAAGAGCATGCAAAAATTATGGTTGAAGTTCTTAGTAAAATGGGAGAACAAGAAGGTGTATTTAGTCCTTTTATTGGTGTGAAAGGCAACGTTTCAAGTGTAGAATATTATAAAGGTAATTTTTATAAATACAATTTTCTCCAGATTTTTTTTAAAATAAATCATTATTTAGTATAATTTTATGAACTTTTAATTATATTAAATCTGTGAATTTGCTATTATATTGATCTAGAATTTACTATTTGGATAATTGGTCAACTTGTTAAAATTCTTAGCCTTAAGAGTTTTTCACCATTGCATAATAATTCAATTCATAGCCAAACTTGTTTGTTGGAAGTACTTTCATGTCAAAATAATTATATTTATGAATGTGCTATTAGTGTTTATGCTAATTTTATTACAAGTAATTAAACTGTGAATTTTTTAATAATAAGATGAATTAAATTGATATTTTCTTAGTTTATGTTAATGATAAAATGTGTTTTTATGTATTAAAATATGTGTCTAGGTATGGCAAAGAACATATCTGGTAATTTATGGCCACTTTTAATTACCTGGTGTAATCCAGATCAACAAATTTGCAGCCAAATGTCTTCAATTGATTTTAAATCAATAAAAATAATAATAAATGACTATAATAGTTGTGTTAACCTATTTCTTCAACTATTTAAACTATTTAGTACCCGTGCATTTTCTGTAAATTATCTCAACAGAAATACTACTATTCAAATATGGGAGTCTGTTACATTAGCAATAATCAATACTAATTCGGTTGCAGTAAAATGTACTGGTCTTCAATTAATATGGCATATGTTAGATTCATCATCATACAGAAGATATTTTGAAGTAATATTTTCATAAATGTATAATATTTATATAATAATTAAGTAATACTAGAAATAAATTATTATTTCTTGTTAGTTAAATTGCTTATAGTACAAGTATAATATAATGCATACCAGTGCATTTACCACTCATTCCTTATATCTTTATTTCTTATATTTATACATTTATTTTTATAAATAATTTCATCGTTTCTTATAAATTTGAAATTATGTATTGTTATATATTTAAAGTAATTAAAGGTACTTTGGTTACTAAGTTTTCTAAGAACTATTTAAGTAATTTCTAAAAATCCTACATCAATGTTTTTATAGTATTAAAAAAAGACCTCTTTTCACATCACAATTCTTTTTAATCTTGGAGATCATTTAAACAATATTTAAAATATTTGTTGCTTTAAATAATTCTAATACTTTTTTTTATATAATTCTTTATAATAATTCAGATGTCATCATGATTGTAAAATTATGCAATTTTTGAATGTTTTAAAATTCTATGAATATTATAATATATATTCAATTTTAAAAATAATTTACATAATACCTAATATATATTATGTACTGTCATGAAATTTCAGATTCTAGAAGATGTGTATGAACTTTTGTTTAGTACTCTTGATAATGTTTGCCATAACTACTATAATGTTGAAGAGTTTAAAGAAATAGAAAAAAATATTTGTAAAATTTTTATAACATTACGCGTGACAGGTCCCATACACATTCCTCCTATCGTTATTGAAGTAATAAATTTGGTAGCAAAGTTGTTACTATCTCAAAAAGTAAAAGGTAATTATATAAAATATATGAGATTTTATGTTGTAAAAGTGCCGATTTCAAAAAAAAATTATTAAACTAATAAATTCTAGGAAAATTAATAGAAATTTTATTCATAAATTCTTTGTTTAAAGTTATTCATTATTCTTATTTATTTTTATTTAGTGTCCAATCAACTTTCTGAAACTATGTGCATTATTGTTAGAACATTTCTTGAAGATCAAATTATAAATCCTACTATTGTAATGGAAAAAATACCGATAAATCAGCTGTTGAAATTATTAAATTTAACTGTAAGTATTTTTAATCAGGGCCTGAGAATAACCCTAAACAGATTAATAGCCCTTGATACTCGAGTAGAACATTTTCACAATAATGCTAGTTATTTACGAAGTAATAGACACTAAATTTTACACAAGGTTTTATTAAGACGTGTACTTTAACATACTAAAATTCTTCATTGATTAGACATGTTTTATTTATAATAAGCTCAAGAAAGATTAAAATGTGAGAGTTTTATAATTTCTCAGTAAATATGAATAACAATTCATATAAATGTTGTTAGTCAGATATTTTTCAAGGTAAAAAGGTATTTTTATTTAAAATAGTAGGTTTTTAAGATTGTCACTTATATTTAAACAGTGAGTAACTCAAAAATAGAAAAAATAATGATAAAATAATATTTGTCTCTGGATATATATTATATTATAAGGCTTGTAGTTTCATTGTATGTTATAAAATATAATCACTTCTTGTATTAAAACATATATATATATATATATATATATATATATATATATATATTTCAAATTTGTTTTTTGATTATTCTGAATATCAACTAAAACTGAGATTCATATTGTTATGTACAATAGATTACAATATATATGTTTTTCATTTAATTACTAATAAATTGTGTATATACAGTAGTGTATCTTCAATAAACTTTCAGGGAAAAATCCTTAATTAGAGGCGAATGCAGAAAATTTACATAACACTTTTAAAATGAAATTCTTAAATTTTAGTGTTTTAAGAACAAAAAAAGGTGTCAAAAGTCAAGTTAAACTATTTTCAGGTTAACCCCCAGAAACAAAAATTTAAACTAAAAAAAATAATGTAATACCAGACCAGTAGTGTTGGATATATATATATATTATATTAGTATAATATATTTATATTAAAAGTCTGACTAAAAACTTTTGTATGAAACGTTTTTTTCATATTTGTTAGAAAATGAAAAGATAACTCACGTTTTTTAATTTTTCTAAGCTTATTAAAAAAAAAGCTTGAAAATGAATGCTAAAATGACATTAAGTATTATAGGTACACAATTTAATAAAATTAAAATTAAATTTTGAATGAGATTTTTCTCTGCCATTTTTCTTTATAACTTAGCTTATTAATAATTCAACTATAAATTTTAATTCATTAGGTGTTTTCCTATCTAGTATTAATAATTTAGAATGCTATATGCATTCTATAATTAGCTCACATAAATTTTTGAGGATTGGAAAAAGCCATTTTGACTATTCTCACACACGTGTTTAAGAAAAAATCTATAGTATTTATATAATTTTAACTAAAGTAATTGTGCTATTATAAAATTTATTAATTTGAACATAGTCTGATTAATTTAACATTTTGTATGAACAAATACATTAAACATATATATCTTCTTCTTTCATTATTTTTATATATGATCAGAGTTTATGTTTAATACTAATTTATTATAGGGTTCTGTAGAACTGATTGAATTTTTTATTTTGCAAGATTTATCATCATATTTAAATACAAAACAAGACACTGAATTTTTTGATTTTCATAAGTAATTTATTTATCATATAATTAAAAGTTTTGCTATAAACCTATGTGTATATATATATATATATATTTTTTTTTTTTGTAATCTAGAGATAGTATTATAGACATTTTAACCATAAGTACTATTTGGCGTCAGATTTGGGAAGAATTAAATAATATTATTAAGACAACAAATAAAATACTTACACCGAATAAATATCAAACAATAAATGCCATTATTCGCATTTCTCATCGTTTGGATACAAAATTAAAAAAGAATAAAGAAAAATTATTGAAAAACATTGAGATAGACAATTTATTAGAAAAATTAATAATTTATGCTGTAAATTTTGTAGATTACAGTGTACTAGAAATACTAATATCTACTTGTGGAAGTTTAATTTGCCTAACAGAATGTAATTTTTATCTTCAAAATACTATTAAGTCTATTGTTGCTATTCTGACATTACCTTGGGCAAATACTTACGGTTCTATGTTTAAGAATACATTGCATTATAAATATTTAAATATTTTAACCTTAAAGTATTCCGTTATGTTGAGTGAGTATTTAATTTCTACCTAAAATTTGTATGATAATTATCAATAATCCACATTATTTTAGATGACAAAAATATTACTAAACAATGTTTAATGTATATAAGCAGAACAAAGGAAAATGTTTGCATAGATTTAAGAGAAAAAATTGTGTATGCATCATTTGGAAGTATTGATTTATGTAAAGATTCTTTGACCAATTTACCTTTTTTTTTTCATGAAAAAATAAATTCGGAAATTTTAACACTTTTTCAAGTGATTAAACAATTTGATGATCATTGTAATATTATCTTTGTACGCAATTTAAGAATATTAGTGTGTGCTATGTATGGCAAATCTGTTATATATAAGAACAAAACGTCTGAGTATGAAGAATTATATTGTCTCGATTGTGATCACGATAAAGTAAATTTAGTACAAATAACAACTCTACATGATCTTGATTACTTAAATAAGTTGAATGATTTTTGGAATGTTGTACTTCTTTCACTTCTTAATAATTCAAATACTGAAATCAGATATGAAGTAATAAAAATTATACCAAAAATAATAAATCACTTTTATCCCGATAAATACTTTAGAAATCAAATATTAACTTTAATTCAAGACAAAGAAGAAGATATTAGAAATCAATTTTCTAAAATCATAAATTCTATTATTTTTGAGAAAGATTCAATGGGTAATTTTCAAGTAATTGATCCACTTTATTCTGATACCTTAAATATCCTTTGCAAAACAATAAACACAAGTTTTAAACTTGGTAATGTTGAACAACAGTATTCTTGTTTGGAAACAACATTCAATATTGGATGGTAAATATTCTAATGGTTATACCCTGTAAATATGCTATTAACAATGAACATTTTCTCTTACAGTGTGCCAATTGAATCAACTATTCTACCATCAATACAATTAATGTTTCTATATTTAATTCATCCAAATTCTTCATATGGAAGTATTGCAAAATTTTATATGACAGAAATAGCCGCTGCTCATAATACAAAGTTTTTAGTTATATTTGATCGATATGAAAATAATTTTATGCAATATATAGCTAATAATTTAGTAACATGCTATGAAACTTATTATCCTAATGTTGATGTGAAAAAAACTTACATTAAATTAGGTTTTACCCATAGAGATGTGTATGCTATTAAACAAATGATTAAATATATATTTCCATGGTGCATCAAGAAACCTACTACACTCAAGATTTTATCTGAAATAGCATCTTTAGCACATAAACCAGAGAGTGTACTTCTTAGAGAATCATTTAAGGTTATTCTTCATAAATTAAATGTTATAAAAAATTAATTTTTAATTGAAATATTTATTGTGTAGTATTGTTTTTCTCATCTACTGTTATCTGAAGAAAAAGACATTTGGAAGAAAGGTTGTCAACTTTTAGAAGAAATAACTAACACGCCATTAATGAATTTGGTCAGGTATTCTTATACAGTAAGTTATACAGTAGTTTTTTATTTATCTAAATAAATAACAAATTATTCACTTTTGTAGCCAATAATTGCTGAAATATTAACTTACTTCCATTCTAAAAATGAGCAAGCTATGGAAGCAATAAAAATGATACAAATGTATGATGTATTAAAAAATAACTCAACTGAAATAAATTATGTGAGTAATTATACTTATAATAATAAATCTGAACAGTTGCTTAAAATATAAAAAAGTACATATTTTTCATTATTTATTGATATTTATTGTTTTTACTAAACAGAGATTTTTAATTATATTTAAAATCTTATAATAACATAATACAAAAAAATTGACAATTTGTTATCATGCCAGATAACAAAATACTTTTTAAATATTCAATAAATTTTTATCTTATTAACTTCAATGTGCAGCTAAGATTAGTTTTACTCTTAGATACTCTATTTATATTAAACCATTTCAAAGATATGCTAAAAGACACAAAACTTATCTAGTTGGATCTATCAGCATCATAATTTTGAATAATTCCTCTCGATTTTACTGTTAAAGGTAAATGCCCAAATTATTGCAGTTGTTATAAATCAGTTTATATTCTTAGTCTTCACTTTATATTTCAAGATTTTTTTAAAACTATATGGATTATTGCGAAATTTTTATTGATAATACTTCAAACATTTTTTTTGCTGATATATATATTTGAGCTTTGATGTGAAGCTGAGAAGGTATTAGTTTTACTATGATGTGTTTTTGTGTCTGTTATCACTTTTTTTCAGTTCTCACCAAACCGATTTCTTTTAACGTATTGTTCAAAGAAATCGTTTGGGTTAAAACTAATACCTTTTTAGCTTCGCATCAAAGCTAATAAAATTTTATTTTTTTTGTGCAATATTCCATTAAAAAAAAAAGAGACATTCTGGTAACTTGCCCTCTATGAGTAAACTGTCTCTTAAGTCAAGAATCATTTAATTTTTGTTAAATATAATAAAAAAAATTTTAATTCCTTACTCATTAAATGCATTGGAAAATTTTATGCTAATGATCTTAATCACTGTCGGATACCAATTATTATTAGTAAAAAAAAAAAAAAATTCCTCTACTCTCATTAAACTAAATCCTGACTGTTCATAACTTTTTTTAATTTTTAAAATACTCTTCCAAATATTTTTTTTGAAATATAATATCACTGAAAGAATTGAGCATTGATTAACTTAAGTTAATGTTAAAAGTTTATTAATTTGGAAACATATAAAGCTTCAATTATAACAGATTACTACAGTTTTACTATACTGTTTTTATACTTTTATATTTAAATAATTGTTAGAATAATATGTGTTTATCGTTTAATACTTATTCTTGCTATACTTGATTCTTGTAATTATGTAATTAAGAATTCAGTTTTCAGAAAATAAGGTGATACCATTAACTTAATTATTTAGAGTATAATTTTCTTCTTAAATATATAAAAACATTAAGATTTGTTGATACAATTTTTATATTAAGAAATTAGATTGAAGCTTAAAGGAAAAATTTAATAATTATTTTCGATTGTTCAATACAATTATATTATTAAATTAAAACTTAACAAATTAATATTATTTTATATTACTTATAGGCAGAATTTTTATCGTCGAGGTTTTTAGGTCTTTTGATGATTTTAGAGTCCAAATTAGTTAAAAATTCACCTGATTCAATTAAAGAAAATATTTTACTTTCACTTGGTGATATCTTTAAATTAATGGGCAAACGTTACGTTACTCCAGCAAGATTTAAAATTTTAGCTATGTTGCGTTCAGCTATTTCATTGAAAAATAATACTTTTGTGTATTTAGGTCTAAAAGCTTGGGATGCATTTATTCATTAGTGAGTAAACAACAGTTTTATTAGTCAACTAAATCATAATTTAAATATTGAAATTTTATTGTTATTTTCAGTGTTAATATTGATGCATTGGGGCCTATGTTAAGCACTATATTTGTTTCCATCTTACCATTACTTGATATTTATCCAAATAAAGTAGCTAATATGTTTTATTTTCTGATTAAAGAAAATGAGCATCATTTTAAGCAACATATAGCTGAATTGTACTTTGTAGAACCACATCTAGCCAATCCTGTGGTCTATAATATCGTTCAACAATATGCTATATCTATGTTGTATGTTCTCATAAATAATAAAATTTAATAGCTTGTTGTGACTTAGTCATTAAACTTTAATTATTAATAAAATATTTTTTTTTAGTAAACAGCCATTACATAAATTATTGATGTGGTTATTAGATATTATTACACACAAAACTCTTGAAGTAAAACTGCATGGTTTGAAAAGACTTCATATTGAACTTTCTGAAAAACAGTCACAAATTACACAACTGATATTATCTAGTGAAAATATAAACTCCGTTGTTATAAAGGTAAACTAATAATTATACAAAAATTTAAATAAAACTGATTAATAATCTTTATTAAAAAGTTATTAGAAGTTTTAACTGAGAATTTAAGACATCAAGATAAAAGAATAAGGCTTGCTAGTAGTGAATGTCTAGGAAAAATTGGAGCACTTGATCCAAGCTATTTACCAAATAATATAATTAGAGAAGGTAATTCATAAAGTATTATATATTATTTTTTTTATAAAGATATTAATTTATTTTAGGGCAAAAAAGAAAATTTCCCTTGGATATTAAATCTAGTGAATTTGCTATTAGAGCACTAACTGTTCTTGGGCAAGGTTTACAATCAGCGAGAAATTCAAGATATATGGATTCTTATGCAGTTGCTATACAAGTAAATTGTTTGTTAAAGAGTAAATAGAAAATACAATTTTAATTATTTAACTTTCAGCAAATTCTTCAAGCTTATAATGTTAAAAAAGATTCTGAAATTTGGTCTGCGATTCCAAGCACATTGCATGAGGTAATAGATCCTTTATCATCATCTAGGTATACTCTTGAATCTGAACAATATCAAACTGGTCTACCACATCCAATATTTGGGTAATAACATATTAAAATGAAAGTTTTAATTTCATAGTTTATAGTAAGCAAATTAATGGTTTTTTAATTTTTTTTAGTTCTGTGAAAAGCCTTACCTTAAATTCATGGGCTTATAATTGGGTAAACCGTCTTGTACCATTGATGACTGATGAAAATGCCAAACTTACATTTATATATTGTAAATCTAGTATACGATCTGATAATGAGGCAATGCTTTTGTTTTTACCTTATGTTTTACGTATGTTTTAAATTAAGTTAAAATATTTATAACATTTATATATGTGTATCAAGTCATCAAAATTTTTGAAGTTGAATCAAAAATTGTTCTAAATAATTACTTTAGTTAATTAACTGGAACTTATTTTATTTTTAGTTTATGCTATACAAAGTGCAAGTGCATGTGATAGTAATTTAATTTATGAAGAAATGTTAGCAGTCTTAAATAATAATTTGGAAGATGTGACATTAAGCTATAAAAATATATCAGCTATTGGAAATACTTCTATATCTGGTCGTCAAATAGCTTTAGAATATGAAAATATTGATCATATTGAACATCAAAATGAAACTACTTCTCGAGTTATGTATGTTAAAACTGCATTTACATTATTTGATTTTTTATTTAAATGGACTCGTGAACAAAAAGCATCTAAAAATGAAGCATACAAACCAGTTTTAGGTAAATTATGCAACATTTATTAATCATTAATATTTTTGTAATATATTAATATTTAACATATAATTAACTATATGCTGTCCACAACTTTTTATATTCAATAAAATGTTGTTCGTCTAATATTTGACAGATTTTTTATCTCGATTTTGTAAACTGAAATTGGCAGAAAAATCTTTAGAGTATGAAGAATATCCTAGAGCTCTTTTGTACCTTGAAGACTATATCCATGAAAATAAAAGTAAACTACAGGATCATTTACCTTCACTTTCAGTATGATTTTAAAGCTTTTTAAATAACTAATGCTTACATTTATTACATAGATGTATAAATATCTATAATTTAATAATGCTTTTACAGAAGATTTACTCTAAACTAAATGATGCTGATAGTTTAAAAGGCATAATTGCTGTACATCATAACGATCCATCACCTGAAGAAATGATACTCTTACATGAAGTTAATGGTCAACTACAAGTAAGCATGTTTACCTATAAATTGTAAATTATTTTAATGTCAAAATTTATGATAAAAATTAAATAGTGAGCTATACAATAGAAATCTTTATTTATATATTATTTATTTTTATTGTTAATCTGCATCAGCTTCTATGGCTATTGGCTACATTCTGTTATAATATTGACATTAATTATATGATTAGATTTGTATTTAATTTTTATTATTTATATTAGTTTATTTTTATTAGTTATTTAAAAAATTATTATACACTTAAATAGTTAACTTCCTTTTAAAATTAAGCTAATTTTTTTTTAAGGATGCTGCAGCATGCTATGAAAAGTTTGCTCAGATTTATTCAAAACCTAGCTTAGAATTTCACAAAGGTATGGTTAAGTGCTATCTGGGTATTGATCAACCATTTACAGCATTAAAAATTGCAGAAGGCTTAACAAATGTCAAGTAACTAAAATTATTATACTTTTTAGCTTCGATGCGAAGCTGAGAAGATATTAATTTTGCTATGTTGTGTTTTTTTTTTTTGTGTCTGTTACCACTTTTTCTCAGCTCTCGCTGAATTAATTAAATTTAACGGTACATTAAAAAAACACAAATCATATCTAGTCAAAGACATTACCCTAAAATATTGAAAAAATTTCCCTCGTTCCTCATAAATGGGAGAAATCTCCAAAAAAATTTCAAATTTTCGAAATTTTTTCAATTTTTTTTACTAAAAACTGCCATAACTTTTACAATAATGATTATATCAATATAATTTTTATTTATAGATGCATGATGTCTTTACCTATCATTTGGTATATTTTTTTTTTATAAATATGACCCTTTACCTGCCCACAGGGCGGATTTAAAATGACAACTTTTTCAACTTAAATTTTGAAAATGTTTCGGATACTCTAACACTTTTATACATATCTTAAATTAAAAATAGTATAATATACTTTATTATGGAAAAAAAAATTTCAGACTTTATTATGTCTTCACTGTGATTTTGTGTGTAAAATTCTCGATTTTATATATTACATTTTTAACTGTATAATGCTATAACTTATTGAAAAGTGTATGGATCAATACAATTTTTTTATGAGAAAAAATATTTATATTCCTCTTTTATTCGACATACTATTTTTAAATAACACCATTTCCCTTTATATATTATAAATATATATATTTATTCATATATTACACTTATAAATCATAAAACTTGTAATCAAGATATAAATAAGGAAATGGGAGATCATATAGCTTTTGGAATAATCCATCAATTTTTTAAAATTAAACACTATCTATAAATTTGCATCGAAGCATTTTTTATGATAGTGATTTTAATCACTATCAGATATCATTATACTTGACCCAACTATGCCACATATCCACTCTGCTGGGTTTATTTATTTTTTTTGTCTCAACTATGGGTTTAATTCTTGTATTAAAGAGGATGGATAATCTTGATATATGTGCATCAATACATAATGCATTTCTGTTTGACTTATACAAGCTCCGAATTATAATATATTTTAAATCATTATATTCTTGTGTTTCCTATTACCATAGTACTGATTTCAATAATGATTTGTTTGGTGAAAAAGCGGAAGCAACATGGAGTCTAATGAAATTTGATGAACTAGAAAAATTTTTAATTGAAAAGCCTTTAAATGCAAGTGACAGTTGGGGAGTTCGTATTGGCCAAGCATTAGTGTATTTTTTGCATAAAGATAAAATAGGACTACGACAAGAAATATCTTCTATTACAAATATTGTTACTGAATCACTTTATATGTCTATGGTTGGTTCAGCGGGATATAAGGAAGCATATCCATTTATTGTCAAGTATTTTATATTTTTTAAGAAATTTAATTATGTATTTTTTATTTAAAATATTTATTTATTTCAGATTACACATTCTTAATGAAATGGAACAAATATTTAATACAGTTTTAGAAATCACTGAAGAAAATAAAAATGCTCAAGAAAGATTTCAAGAACTGATAACTTATGAAATGGATGAGCGACTTCAGTGTGTTCAACCACAAGCATATATTTTGCAACAAGTACTATGTATGCGAAGAGTTGTATTAACAGCTGCACAAAAATTTATCTTTGATGACAATAAAACAGTCATTAACCATCAAATTGGTATTAGCTGGTTAAAAAGCATCAAAGTAGCTAGAAAGTAGGATTTATTAATAAATATATAAAATTGAAGTAATTATTTATTTCTTCTTCTTCTTCTTCTTCCTCGCCTTAATCCTAACTACTTGGGGTCGGTCACCCTTATCCTAAACTTCCACTTGACATAATCTCCCACATCATTTACGCTCACATCAGCTGTCCTCAAATCGCATTCAATAGTATCCCTCCATCTCTCTTTTGGTCTTCCTCTATCTCTTCTTCCTTCAACATTCATTTCTATAACTGTTCTTACAGCTTCCGATTCTTCTCTCTTCATAACATGACCAATCCATCTAAGTATATTTTCTCTCATTTTATCCACGATTGATGCTACACCTATACTCCCTCTTATTTGATCGTTTCTTATTCTATCTTTTCTAGTCACTCCACTTATCCATCTAAGCATTCTCATCTCTGCTACACTCATTCTCTTCTCTACTTTCTTATCAACCGCCCTACACTCTGAACCACATATCATAGCTGGCATTATTACAGTCTTGTAGAGTTTACCTTTCAGTCTCATTGGAATTCTTTTATCGCATAAGACGTCAGGCGCTTCTCTCCACTTCAACTACCCGCACTTAATTCTGTGTCTTACATCCTGGTCAATACCACAACTCTTTTGTACAACTGACCCTAAATACTTAAAACTCTCTACCTCTCCAATCATGTCCTCGCCTATTGTCACTGACCTCCTCATTTCACCTACCTCGTGTTCTCCTTTGTCACACTCGTACTCTATATACTCTGCCATACTTCTACTTATTCTTAAACCCTTTTCTTCAAGAGCTGATCTCCACACCTCTAGCCTTTGATTAATTTCCTCCCTATTTTCTCCTATTAACACTATATCGTCAGCAAACAACATGCACCACGGCACCTCTCCTTGTATTTCTCTAGTAATTTCATCCATCACTACAGAGAATAAGTAAGGGCTTAAAGCAGAATCTTGGTGCACTCCTACCATTACCCGAAAACCTTCTGATATTCCTCCTACCCTTTTTACCCTGGTACAAGTGCCATCATACATATCTTCTATTATATTAATGTACCTTTTTGGGACTCCTTTTCTCATTAATGCCCACTTTAAAACCTCTCTGGGTACTCTGTAATACACTTTCTCCAAATCTTTAAATACCATACATAGCTTTTTCTTCTTTTCCCTAAACTTTTCTATTAGTTGCCTCACACAAATTACTGGCTCCATTGTTGACTTACCAGGCATAAATCCAAACTGGTTTTTAGATTCTGATATCTCATTTCTTACTCTCTTATCTATTACCTTTTCCCAAATGTTTATACTATGACTCATAAGCTTTATGCCTCTATAATTTCCACATTCCTGTATGTCTTCTTTACCTTTAAATATCGGCACCACAATACTATTCCTCCATTAATTTGGTATTTTCCCATAAGATTTTATTTAAAAGTTCTTTCAACCACCTTATGCCAACACCGCCTAATATTTTCCATACTTCTACTGGCACTTCATCTGATCCTACTGCTTTATTCTTTTTCATTGATGCCACAGCCTCCCATACCTCTTTCTCACTAATTAAATCTACCAGTCCCTCATTCCACGAGATATCCTCTAATGTCTCTTTTGGGTACTCCTCATTCAATAATTTTTCAAAATACTCTTTCCACCTTTTTTTCACATCATCATCACTCGAGAGTATCTTATTATCAACACTTTTTATACACCTATATAATGATAATATTTAGACCTTTTCTCTCTTATCTTTGCAAGTCTATAGATTTTTTTCTCGCCTTCCTTTGTTCCTAGCCTATCATACAACTCATCATACCTCTTAAACTTCGCCTTACTTACTGCACACTTGGTTTCTTTGCACAAGTGTTTATACTCCATCCAGTCTTCTCTCCTTTTGCTCTTCTGCCATACTTTGAATTGCTTTTTCTTACTTTCTATGTTTTTTTGAACATCCTCATCAACCACCAGGTTTCCTTTTTTACTGGCATTCTACTCCTACTCTCACCAACAATCTCCTTTGCAGTATTCTTTACACTACTAGCAAATCTATTCCACACATTATTTATGTCTCCCTCGACATTCCACACTGTCCTCTCTTTTACCGTCTTTACAAACTCTTTTTCATTTTCCCCTTTCAATTTCCACCACCGGATCTTCGATTTTTCCCTTGTGTTTCTTCTATTTTTATTTATTCTCATTCTGGTACACCACAACTCCATTACCATCAGTCTATGTTGTGTAGTTACACTATCGCCTGGTATAACTTTACAATATTTTACTCGTTTTACACTCTTTCTCTTCCACATAAAATAATCGATCTGTGATCTATTCCTCCCACTCTTATATGTTATATAATGTTCTTCCCTCTTTCTAAAATAAGTATTAACCACAACAAGATCATACGATACTGCAAAATCCAGTATTCTTTCTCCAGCCTCATTCTTCCCACTAAAACCATATCCTCCATGTACTCTTTCATATCTTCTCCTCTCATTACCTACATATCCATTAATATCTCCACCTATCAACGCATCCTCATTGCCAGGTACCCCTTGCATCACCTCATTCATCTCTCTCCAAAACTCTTCTTTGTCTATTTCATCACATCCCACTTGTGATGCATAGGCACTTATTACATCCATCACTTTTTCTTCGAATATCAATTTTACGACCATAATTCTGTCACTTTTCCTAGCTACTTCTACTACTTTATTTTTCATCTCCTCATCCATTATTATCCCTACACCATGCTTTGTACTAGACTTACCAGAGTATATTATTTTATAACTCTCACCTATTTCCCTTGATTTCTCTCCTTTCCACTTAGTTTCCTGCATACAACAAATGTTAACTTTTCTCCTCTTCAATACTTCTACTAATTCTCTACTTCTACCAGTTAATGTTCCAACATTCCAAGTACCTATTTTTAATTTGTATCTATCTTTCTCCCTTATACACGAGTCTAGCCTAGAGTTAAGTGGTGATATCCCTACATTGTTGACACTACAAGCGTTGGGTAGACCTGTACACATGGCTTGTGAAACAGCTACCGCACAAGTTTTTAGGCTGGTATCAAACACATTATTCCTTAGATCTTCTCCATTTTTAACTGCTTTCTGTTGTCCCTGCGTACATCCGAGATAGGACAATCCGCTTAAATTTTGTTCAGAATTCCTCATACTTTTTTTGACAAAAATTTTTATGCCGGCTGTCCACCTGACACAACCTCATTTAGTCGCCTCTTACGACTGGTAGAGAGGCCGTGGAAGTATTCTTATCCCCTATCCACAGAGAAAGAAGTAATTATTTATTTGATTTTTTAAATCTTAAAATACCATTGGTATAAATAAAATACAGGTATATAAAATTAATTTAAATATTTTACACATAACCCAGGTATTGAAAATTTATTCACTAAGCATATCACCTAATAATTGTAAACAAAAATTAAATTATTAATTAATTAAACTGTACTTAATACTTAATAATTTTGCTAACCAATTTTATGATTTCTAAAAATGTGAAACACATTGAACAATAGATTTATATTATATTCAATAAAAAAATAATAATAATAATAATTCAACTTTTTATTTATATTTAGGTCGTTAAATTTTCAACAAGCATATTCTAATATACTAGCTGCTGAGAAATATAAGCCAACTGGTTTATTTATTGAAAAGTCAAAACTACTATGGAAAAAATCAGACCAAGGTCAGGCCATTTCTACTCTAAAAAAAGGAGTTAACTTTTTATTTCCTAACTTGGCATTAGTTAAATCTATGCCTTGTGATGAAAAAATAGAAGAACGAAAAACTTGTGCATCAGTATGTATTTGAATTTTATTATTTATTTATTTTCTCATTATTAATATATATATATATATATATAGCCATTAGAATTTGGGTTTCATTATAACTTGAACTTAAAGTATTTATAAAATTAGTTTTATTAAAAGTCCATCAATGACAAATAGATATACACGTTTTTTTTAACATTAAACAATGTATATTAATGTTTAAAATGTTTGATTTTCAAACCCAATCAAACTATTGTGAACAAACATCAAGCTTAATTTGTTATTAATACAAGAAAAGTTTTGCTTGAAAATGATTAAAATTTATGTTTCATTAAATACTTAAATTGCTTAGATCAATTCAGGTTCGATTGAAAAGTTGAAATGTCAGTTTCACTTGAATTAAAGTTTAAAATTAAAGTTCAATTTGACCCACAATATCAGTGTTTGTAACATTGCTATTAATTAGGAATTTAATTATGAGGGCATATTGAATCACTTTTAGAACAAAAAATTAGCCTGTGATAATTATAGGTTATATACTTATTATAAGTTTTCATAGAATTAACCCAAACAAATTTTTACAAAAGTCCTAAACCTTGATTAATAATAATTTTTTTTTTTTCTATTGATTTAAAAATATATTGTGGTTTAAATTTTTTTATGCTATTATAGGCCTTATTATTGTTATCAAAGTACAATGATAAAACTGCTAATATAGACATGGAATCTAATTTGGTAAACATAGAAAATGCTTATGAAATGTTTGAGATGTGGGAAAAAAGTTTGGTTCGCTTTGCTCACTATCAAGATCGTATATTAAATACTATGTCACAACAGACATATTACACTAAAGGATTGTTAGTACTTGTAATATTCTTATATATCTATAAGAATTGTTTTACATTGAAGAATTTTTTTAATTTTAAGGAATTTAATTACTAATATTGTTAATTGTTATGGAATGTCATTGCAATATGGTTGCAAGTATATATATCAATCAATGCCAAAATTATTGAGTGTATGGTTAGATTTTGGGAGTGATCTTAACAGGGATTTAAAAAAAAAGAACAACAAAACTTCTTTATATTTAATTGAACGAAAAAGAGTTTTTATTAAAATGATCAAACTTATTGGTAATTTATTAAAAGCATTAATTTCTTTATAATAATTTTAAATAACTTAATTTTCAGAGGGATTTGTATTGCGACTACCCACATTTATGTTCCTTACAGCATTTTCACAAATTACTTCAAGAATATGTCATCCTATGGAAGAATGTTTTAAAACTCTAACTGACATTATTGTCAAATGCATATTAGATTATCCTAATCATTCTTTATGGATGTTAATGACATTGCATAAAGTAATTAATATATTTTTAAATAAAAAAATTAATAACTAGAAGATATTTAATCATGGAAACATAATAAAAATATCTACATTAAAAATGAACTTTTTTATTTAACTACATAACAATATTCTGGATGTAACCAACTTTAGGATTAAAAAAATGTAGGAGTATTCAATTTTTGTATCACAGTATTTAAGATTATGTAGTGACATAATAATATTTTCAATTTTAGGGAGGGATAAACCATTATCCCCCACTTAAACTATAAATCTCGGGAACAACATATTACTAAATTTTCATGCTAATTCATAAAACTTTACTAGCTAATTATGTGTTCCAGGTATCTTAACAAAATTTGTAAATTCTAAGTCCCAGTTATTACAATTAAATTTTCATGTTTTTTGTTTTTATATATTTTATTTTAAATTATATAATATATAAGATAGGTAAGATTAATAACCCCAAGCTTTACTTTATACAAAGCCTAATACAAGCTAGACCTTATTACTTGCATCTATACATATATCTTATGTTGATTTATTTTTAAAGATAATTCTTATTTTTCAGTCACCTTTCAATGTACGGGTGTCAAGATTTAATGCCATACTTAAAAATCCCAAGCTTACAAAAGTCAAAAATTTATTGTTGCATTTTATGGAACTCTTTGAAAATTTATCAGAACTTTGTAACACAAGTCCTCAGAATGTTCCTGTTGGTGTAAAGTTTCCTTTACAAAGAATAGCGAAAAATTTGCCACGATTGTTGACTAATGGTTACTTCAGTAATATAATGGTACCAGCTCAAAAATTTCGAACTTTGGTACTGCCGCGTATGAATTCAAATCAAAATACAAAACATAACCCTTTTCCAGAGTATGCATAAATATTTATATTTTTGTATTGGTTAAATTTCTTGACTATATTTGATGTGCTTAGAAAATACAAAGGGGCAGAAGTGACATTAAAAAAAAATGTATAATAATAATCATAATTGTAAAAAATCATTTATTTATTTATAATTTTTTCTTATACACTGTTATAAAAAAAACAAGTGTTTTTAAAAACTCATTTTCTTAAAATTAAAATAAAAATATAATTTATATCCCTTGCATTCTAAGCGCCTCACATAATAACTAATTCATCATTTATACCAGGTTTTTATATAGAATTTGACGTAAGATATCATTTAGTAAATAGTGTACCATTTGTAATGGGTTGATTTGAAGTAAATTAATATGGAAATATAAAATACTATTTTTCAAAATAATTATACTATAACTTTTATACTTATAGTACAATTTTAAATATTATGAAAGATTTGATGATTTATAAATATTTGTGTGCAATATGTTTGGAATTTCTGAATTTTTAAAAATTTAAAACTTAACCCTTACAATTGAAATTTTTATTTTCAAAAAAATTTAACAAATATAAATTTTAACTGCAATCATAAACATTTTATTTAATAACATAAATTTATGAATGAAAGGTTTATTTTTTCAGAGATCTAGTGTATATATATGGAATCAAAGATGAAGTTTATATATTTAGTTCCCTTCAAAGACCAAAACGTATTATTATGCTAGGTTCTGATGGAAATGAATACCCAATGATGTGCAAACCAAGGGTATTTTTAAATCTAACCATTTTAAGTTTGAAAATGAAATAAATACAAATAATTATTTTTTTAGGATGACATACGGATTGATTCGAGGTTGATGGAATTTAACAATATAGTCAACATGTATCTTAAACGTGATCCAGAAGCTAGGGATCGAAATCTTTATATAAAAACTTATGTAAAAAATAATAACTCATTATTTAAATTACTTTAAATTTAAACAAAAATATAAATATATCAAATAATTGATTTTTAGAGTGTTGTACCTATGATACTTGATTGTGGGTTAATAGAATTAGTTGAAAATGTTGTGACCATGAGAAGTGTTATTTTAAAAAACTATGAAACAATAGGGATAAAAGTATCAAAAAGTACTTTACAAGGACTAGCTTGTAGTAAGTATTTAAAATTAATTTTAAATCGTACAATTTTATTTTTGTGCCATATAAATTTTTTTTTAATTTCATTATGAATTTTGTATAAGAGAACTTCATATTCTTACATAAAATCATAAACTATTAATTTAATATCTAATTTTTTATAATAATAAAAGTTGTTATAGCACTTAAAAAATTTTATTTTGTTTATAATGCATTCTCTAAAATAAAGAAAATTATTTTAAATGTTTAGATAAAGCAGATTCTTTAGAGAAAAAAAAATCTGTTTTTTTAAATAAAGCATTACCGAATCACCCACCAGTATTCAGAAATTGGTATCTTAAAGAATTTTCTAGCCCAGGAGAATGGTAAGTTTTACTATGGAATTTTTTTTAATATTTGTAATTCTACTATATTTTATTTATTTCATTATTAGGTATGTGGCCAGAAATGAATTTACTAGAACAACTGCTGTAATGTCAATTGTTGGTTATATATTAGGTCTTGGTGATCGTCACGGTGAAAATATTTTGCTTGACTCTACTAATGGTGGTGTGGTTCATGTTGATTTTAACTGCTTGTTCAATCGAGTAAAGTCTTATATGGTTTTAATTTCATAATCAAAATTAATAGATATATAATAATTTTAATTTTAATATTTAAGTTTGAAAATTAAACCTAAATTTTACCACCTTCAATCATTTTCTCTTTGAATACTCTGGTCCTATACCATGGTAAATATTTTGAATTAAAATGTTTACATTATATTTATTTTATCTAAATTGTTAAAATATTGAAAAATTCTTTAAATTAAATAAGTACTAGGAAGGATTTTATAAAAAAAATAAATTAGATCTCTATGTGTAAGTTTACAAATTGATATGCTTCATAATACAAAAATTAATAATATACTATTAATATTTATAAATAAAAAAATATGCTTTCAATGGTAAATAATTGACACAAGTTAGTGTTACCTCATTTAAATAGAGTTATTAATTATAAATACTCAAATATTCTGTTGAAATAATGTTAAGGGAGAAAATTTTGAGTGGCCAGAACGTGTACCATTTCGTATGACACATAATATGGTTGATGCTATGGGAACTGGTGGATTAGAAGGAGTGCTGTTTAGTGCCTGTGAAATCACTAACCGTGTAATGCGATCACACAGTGAACAGCTAGTTAGTGTTCTTAAACCATTTTTATATGATCCATTAGTTATGTGGACTGGTCGGGATAGTAAAGCTGATGAAAATTCGGAAATGACAAATAATCAGGTATAACAAAATATTTTAAATTAATTTTTTTGAGTTAAGTTAGTTAGTTTTAGTTATTAGAGAGGTAAACAAGAACTGTCCATGCACCTTTAGATTCAATATGCGCACTTTCTACCAAATTACATTAATTTGGTTTCTACTTATAAGTATTTCCAACAAAGTATTGTTCCCATTATTAAATACCTAAGACTATATAAGACGTCTTACTAGACTACATGTATATTCAAAGAGTTCTGTCTCTCTGGCGAAATTAAGTATTTTTTGTAGGTTTGATATCTTCTTTTTTGTGAAAAGATCTTCCCAAACGTTAGATTTTAATTTTTCAGGGTATCACATTTACACATAATGTAAAATGAATCTTCCTCTTCTATTCCAAACTTCTTTCACAGTGATGATTCTGTCACCTTCGTTGTGTAAAGATTTTTAAACAGATGACTGTGTTCTATCAGTTTTCTTTTTTATAATCAACCTTAAAGTTGATTTTTTAGTTTTCATTCATTTCTCCAATTATTTCTATTGTCAGTTGACCTCTTCAATTCCTTATAGTTTGTTAGGCCTGCATCGAAATCATCCTTTTGATGTGAGATGTTCTTGTCACTTTTGATCTCTATTGCCATTTATCTTTCCTTCTATTATAATATACAGAAGTTCTTCTTCGTGTCTTAAGATATTCCAGTCTTATCCATATTATCCATACATATCATATTCCAGTCCTAACTCTAGTCAAAATGCTTATTTGATATCCAGTCATGTTATTAAGATCTCTCAATAACAGATCGGAAGTCTTGATAAATAGTTTTTATTGTATGGGCACCACTAGGTATCTCCATAATTCTCTATATTGTTCTTTACACTAATTTTTGAGTAATACTTAGAGAAATTGCTCTGTGAGTCCTACCATAAGTTCTGGTCCAACATAGGTGTTTTCTACACCTTTACTCGCTAGAAAGTCTGTTTTTTCATTTAGTATTGCCACTACCTCTGCTTAAAATACGGAGGGATTTGTGCCCATTAACATGCTGATATTTAATCCTCAAAAGCCATCACCTATTCTTGGAGTTGTTTATATAAATTACAAACCTTTCTTTCCTATCAGGTGATTATATTTCATTTCCTACGTCTTAAGATTTCAACTTTATAGAGGATGTTATTTTGGAGAACAGGTTTGATACTGTATGAGGGATACCTCAGTGTACTCTGGTTTTTTAGTATTTTACCATATTTTATGGTGTCAGTATCCATAGTCTACATACCTAAGTTGTAGAGTTTTAGTGCTGTAGTTATGGCATAATCTTTAACCTCTAGGCGTAAAGGAGGTAGTTCAATTAGTGCCACCAGTGCTTCTAAGAGTTTCACCTCTGACTTAAAGCCAATTTCTTTTCTAAGTGTGTAAAAGCTGTTAAGTCCGGATCTTTTTCTGGTAAAGATAACTACTAATGGGTTCTCCTTTAGAGGCCCTCTTTTATATACCTATAATTAAGTTTCTCCGTAGTCTAAAGAAATGAATTGAGATATTTGATTTGTAGAATTTTGCTTTATTGTAATTAGTATTGTTAGGTTAAAGTATAAATATCACCCTGACCTTTTGGAAGCTTTTGGGTTGATAACCATAAGTTAGGTATTCTCTAAATATGTTGTAGAGAGGGAAGACGATTAGATCTAGCACTTCTCGTATAGAAGTGCAGAAACTATTTCATTGCAGCCTGCAACCATTTAATTGCCAAAATCATTTATTGCCCATCTTATGTCACTTGGGGTCACTGACGTACGCAAGGGGGAAGGGGTTGAAACCCTTCCCAAAATTTATAAGCTAAGCGACAATTTTGGATGATAAACAATAAGTAATAATAATAAAAACGATCATATCATACTATAAATATTTCCACAATAAAGTAATAGAAAACAGGATTTTTTGTAAGTGAACAGTATAGGTCAGCCAACAAATGAAAAATGACGGAAAAAATTCCCAACCAAATTTTGTTTTTTTAAAGTTGAATTAAGATATGTATAATGACATACTAAAAGTCCTCGTCGATTGTAATTGAGCTTTTTTTTTTTACAGCCTTGCAAAAGTTAAAAAATATGAGATTTTTAAATTAAAAATATTTAATTTAAAAAAAAAGTTTCGTACAAAAGTTGTTTAAAAGACTATGAGTACTAAAATTTATTTTTCATTTATTCCATTTTACGGTTATTTTTTATTATGTCATACGTATATACTGCCGTGCTAATCGAAAACAGGATAACTCCAGTCAACATGATTTTTCAGGAACACAAAAAAACATTTTTAACAGTAAATCAAGTCTAAAAATGGCGTTTTTACAAAAAATCGGTCAAACCTTGTGCTGATGTATCTAATTTTACATCTAGAATTGGTTGAACACTTTTTATTTCAACTTTTTTGAGTTTTTTAAGGAGAAAATGGACTTATCATAAAATTAATATCGGAGTACTAAGCAAAAAATTGATAACTCCATAAAAGTGGACTTACCGGATTATTGCTTAGACTTTTTTGGACATAACTTATTTAAGTCTATGATCATACAACATTATTCGTATGTAAAAAAACGTGTAACTCCAATTTTATCAAACAAATAATAATTTTTATTATAAAAAAATTATTACAAAACAATTAGACTTTTACTTTAAAGCCTATTAAATTTTTAAAAAACAAAATAAAACAATCAGCATACCTTTTAACTGGTCATCACTAAAAACAATTAAAATAAATTAAATTTTAAATAATAAAATAACAGTTAGTATAAAATGCTAAAAATAAAACAAAATATAAATTTATGATAACATAATAAAGTATATAATATACTTTATTATGTTATACTAATAATTGGTTCCTATCACAATTTATCACATTATAAAGTTTCATATAGCAGTTTCTAATTTTCAGATTCTTCATATAAGTCATTGACTAAATCTGATGTAGGAAAATCAAACCAAAATTGCTGTCTGCTCTTAGGCATAAGTGGGACTAGTGTTTGTATAATACTTTGTTTTTTTTCTGGTTGAATGCCTCTTAATTCATTTTTTTGCTGTGGTCTTACAAAATCATTTTTTAAATATGAAGGTTTTAAAAAGTCTAGCATTCTTAATGGAGTATACTCATCATATGTACAAGAATATAATAAGTATTTGAATCTAATACTTTAACATCAACATGGCCTTTATTTGAATTCTTTATTGATTTTTCATAATCACAAAAGTCATAGATTTTACCCATTTGTTTCATGGAAAGTTCAACCTGATGGTGGAATGAATCCGCAGACATAAAACTATGGCCTGGTTGAAAATAGAAAATATCGTTCACCATAGTTTCAAGTTCTTGAGAATTAATCATAAAAATTAAAAATGTAAACAAGCACTAATTCTTATTTTGAGCAGAACAGTTGTCTAACTAAATAGTTATTTTTTTCATGTATTTGTAAAATAAAAAAAAAGCATAGTAACAACTTGTCGAGTCTTCTTGTTTTCTACCACTAATTCCTTCATGCCATATTACTGCCAAGGGTTTAATTGAACTTCTAGGTCCGACTAGAACAAAACTTTCATTAAATGCTATGACCCTCTTTGTGAAAATTGCAGCTTTGAAATTGTCCATTCTTGGTAACATGATGACTTTTTGTAAGTCGACCGATACATACAATTCATCTCCTAATAAAACAATTCAGAATTTTTAATACAAGAATATAATTATTCAAATAAGTATAATTTTTTACTTTACCATTTTTGGTTTTTTTTTATTGTTCATCATATTTAATGCGTTTAATGGGCGTTTGTGTACATTTCAAAATGAAATTACCATTTTTTACATCCATGACAGTCACTGTTTTCTTGAGAATTATGTCTATTATGATTTGGGTCATGTTGAAAGAAAGTTTCACATAACTCACACTCTTCATGTCCAAGTTTTGTAAATGATATATTCATTTTCTTTAATACTTGCCTATACATATCATATGAACACTTAAAATCAGGATTTTTTTCTTTAAAGTCAGACAACATAGATGTGACTGTAATTTCATTTGACAAATATTTTTTTAAAGGTGCATGTTCTCTTCTATAATGTGCAACTGAAGGATTGAATGAATTTATATGAGACTTAATTGGTTCTACATCTATTTTGTTCCACGGTTCTCGTTTAGAATTATTTGATGGAGATACAATTATAGAACTATTATTTTCACTGCTTGAACAAATTTTTTGAATAAAAGAGTCATTGTTCTTGGAAAATCCCAAAGTTGCTAAATAAAATTGCTTACATACATATTTAAATGACCCATCTGAGTTTTTCAATAAATAAGAAAATGACCAATTCCTTTTTTTTTCATTATTAACTACTCCTCTACGACGCTGTACACATTTTCTTTCAATTGAGCTCACAATAAATAACTCTTGTTCTTTTTTTGAAAGAGTCCAGTACTGCATATTTATTTCGGTCCTCAAACTTTCAGGAATATATTGTATACAATTTTTTTTACAAGTTATACAACAGGGGGACCGTAGCTTATGCTTATCACGTTTTAATTGCATTTTCATATTGTTCCTTTCAGTAATAGTAGTTGTATAACGACGGCGCTTCCTCTTTGTTCCTTTTTTAGTTACACCAGTTCCTATTTCATCATGGATATCACTACCTGAAATGTGTGATACTCCACTATCATATTCATTGTTCTATATTAAAATAAATAAATTAAAATAAGTAGGTACCTATTTTATTTACTACCAATTATGTAAAAAATTAAATCCGCTAAAAAATTATATTTAACATAGTATTTCGAAAAATGTCTGATTCTGAAGAAACTGTTGCATTTGAGAAATTAATCGATCCATAATTTTGACCACTATTAGAATTTCCATCACAATTCTCAATATTATTATTTCCAACACAAATCTCATTATAGTCAGTATTAGTAATATTATAATTCTCAACTGTTAAAGGTAAAGCTATATTATCTTTGAAACTCTAATAATTATTAAAAATTGAATTTAAATTAATTAAAATATAAATTGGTTTTACAGTTATTTAATCAATTTTATTACCTCAATATTTGTATACTGTTTAAAACCTGCATCAGTTTTATCTTGAAAGTCAAATTCAGTATCAAGGTTTTCAACAAAAGTGGCAGTGTTTTGAATATCATTTAACAATTCTATATTCAAATTATTTGTATGTGTATATTTCATATCTTGTACATGACATAGATTCTACAGAATACAAAAGTAACTAAGTATTAATTGGGTATAATGAATATAATATACATAATTTTTGTAACATTTAATCATAAATTAACTGGAAAAATAATATATTCATTTGAAATAATTATTTATCTTATAATGGACTTACCTCTAGATTTGTATAAGACTTGGGACCAATGGTTTCATGTTGGTTGCAGCTGTCAATTAAAGTAGGGTTTTTAATGCTGTCAACAATTATTGAATTTGTGGGAAATATGCTTTATTACAACAGTAAATTTACAGTATAACAAATAATAATTTAAACTGATTAACTATAAACAATGAACAACGAACAAAATGAACAATTTATGAAAATGATAACTGATGACTGATCACTGGACACTGTGGTTTGATGATTGATAACTAGGAGCAACGGTCCCACTTCTTATATAGGCGGTAGAATGTTCCAGAACAATCGACCGCCGAAGAATCTTCTAGAGGCGGCGGCGGTCGAACGTTCTAGAACATTCGGCCGCCACATCACCCCCCTTCCAGTAATGAAATTACGATTCAATGAGTAAACTGTTTCTATCCCGCTTGATAAAACTGTGTGAAGCGCACTCTTCTTCCTGAACGTGTTGTACGGTTGTTGTCGGAGTGACTGTCCTCTGGAAATGAGTCGTCGGCTGGTTGCTGGTTTTCTGGTTGCTGGTCTTGTGGTCGATCTTCGTGCCCTTGTAGGTCATCGGGGCTGTCCCTGGTCACGTATGCTGGTTTCAGTCGATCAAACGATACAGCTACTTCTCGGTTACGTATTTTGATGACGTAATAGCGAGGGTGCCGTGATATGACTGGGAATGGACCTTCGTAGGGGTTCTCCAGCGGACCTTTAGGTGCATTGCGGTAGGCCAGAACGTGGGATGATGAGGCCAAATCTTTAAAAATGAAAGTTGGCTTATCTCCATGCCATGAAGTTGGTTGAGGCTTCAGCTCGTTGAAGTGTCGGCGAAGGCGGTTGACGTAGACAGCTGGGTCGGAGTCTCCTGTCGTTTGTTTCGGGTTCACGAACTCTCCTGGCAGACGTATGGATTCTCCGAAAACCAGCTCTGCTGAGGTTGCCTGAAGGTCTTCTTTCCATGCAGCTCGGATGCCCATTAGGACGATGGGTACACGTTCGACCCAGTCTACGCTTTCGTGGCAGCGTAGGGCTGATTTGAGTTGCCGATGGAAGCGTTCGATGATGCCATTGGATTGAGGGTGTCGAGCGGTCGTTCTTATGTGTTTTGAACCGATAAGCTTAAGGAGCGCATTATAAAGCTCACCATCAAACTGTCGGCCTTGGTCGGTTGTTAACCGTTCTGGGACACCAAATCGTGAAATCCACTCCCTGAAGATGACCTTCGAAACGGTGTCTGCCGTGATGTCTTCTAAAGGGTAGGCTTCTGGCCATCTGGAGAAACGATCGATGCAGGTCATTAGGTAGCGGTAGCCTTGGTTGAAGGGAAGTGGACCGACGATATCGACGTTGATGTGTTCAAAGCGGGAACTTGCGAGTTGGAATTCGCCAAGTGGTGCGTGGACATGCCTGTGCACTTTGCTTCGTTGGCAAGGGATACATTCTCGGGTCCAAGTTCTAACGTCCTTATTGATTGAAGGCCAGACGAATCTTTCAGCGATGAGTTTGACTGTTGCACGTGACCCAGGATGTGATAATCCGTGCAGGGATTTAAATACCTGCTTGCGGAAGGAGTGAGTGACAAACGGGCGTGCTTTATCTGTGGACAAATCGCAGAAAAGCATTTTTGATGTTCCAGGGATACATATTTGTTTCAACTTCAAGGGTGAGTTGGATTTCAGGAGACGATGGAGTTCTTCGTCGTTTTGCTGGGCCTGAGCAAGATCGTCGAAGTTGATACCCTCTGAAACAGCGTCTATCCGGGACATTGCATCAGCGACGACGTTGTCTTTTCCAGAAATATGGCGGATGTCTGTGGTGAACTGGCCAATGAAATCCAAGTAACGGAATTGACGTGGTGAACATTTTTCAGGTTTCTGGCGGAAGGCAAAAGTCAAAGGTTTCTGGTCTGTGAAAACCGTGAAACTTCGACCTTCGAGATGATGCCGAAATTGACGAATCGACTGGTAGATGGCGAGAAGTTCTCTGTCAAAAGCGCTGTACTTGGTTTGGGCTGGTTGTAACTTGCGTGAGAAGAATGCTAGTGGTTGCCATCCTTGGTCGGTGAGTTGTTGTAGAACTGCGCCAATTGTGAGATCCGATGCGTCGGTGAAGAGTCCCAAGGGTAGTTTTGGATCCGGATGCGACAGGAGAGTCGCGGTAGCCAGAGCTTTCTTGCAGTTTTCGAAGGCTTGGATGCCGTCAGGAGTCCATGGAATCGGTTTCTGTCCTTTGGCGTCTTTCCCTTGCAAGTAGGTGTGCAGAGGTGCTTGGAGATCGGCAGCATTGGAAAGAAATCGCCTGTAGAAATTAATCATGCCTAGGAACCTACGTAGGGACTTGACGGTTTGTGGCTGCTTGTAGTTGCTGATGTCCTGGACTTTCGATACTGGCGGTTTGACACCCGTGGAGTTGACGGTGTAACCTAGAAACTCGATCTCGTCTACCCCGAAAACGCTTTTAGTGACGTTTATCACGAGGCCGTATTTTTCGAGTCGCTCGAAGACTAGGCGGAGATGTTCTTCGTGTTCTTCTTCCGTCTCGGAGGCTATCATGATGTCGTCTATGTAGACGTATACGAAGTCAAGATCCCTCAGAACTTCGTCGAGAAAACGCTGGAAGGTTTGGGCTGCGTTTCGAAGTCCAAAACTCATCAGTGGAAATTCGAAAAGGCCGAATGGTGTTGTAATGGCAGTTTTCTTGATGTCGTCGGCTGCCACAGGGATCTGATGGTAGGCGCGTACCAGATCAATTTTCGAAAAGATCTTCTTCCGCGCGAGCCGTTGGGAGAAATCTTCGATGTGCGGAATTGGATACCGGTCTGGAATGGTCCGTGCGTTCAAAGACCTGTAGTCGCCACAGGGTCGCCATTCGTCGTCCCTTTTGTGCGCTAGGTGAAGCGCCGAGGACCAGCTGCTGTCGGAAGGTCGAGCAACACCCATCTTCACCATGGTCTCGAACTCCTTCTTGGCGATGGCGTACTTATTTGGTGCAAGTCGCCTGGGTTTGCATGAAACAGGCTGCCCTGGAGTGGTGCGAATGTGATGGACCGTGTTGTGCTTCACCTCGGTTGGCAGGCCGCTAGGTCGCGTCAGACCAGGGTATATTTTTAGTAACTGGTGGTAACGCGACTCGCCGTTGAGCATCTTGATTTGTGGCACCTCACATTCAGCCGCAGGCGTGCCTGGTGAGGAAATCGTGGTGTTTGGGTCGACAAGGCGCCGGTGTCGCAGGTCAACAAGGAGTCCATAATGTTGTAGAAAGTCCGCCCCGAGTATAGGTTTCGACACATCTGCGATGATGAAGCGCCAGGGAAATTCTCGCCGTAGACCGAGGTTCAAGGTTAGGTTGATTCCTCCGTAGGTGGCGATGTCTGAGCCGTTTGCAGCGCTGAGTGTGTATGAAGATCGAAGGGTGCGAGTTGCAGTGCGTGAGCGAGGAAAAACACATACGTCAGCACCTGTGTCGATCAAGAATCGGAGTTGGGAGTTGGTGTCGGTTATGAAGAGGCGGCTTGTTTTCGGGCTCTTGTCATCTGTTGCCGCGTTTAATGACTGCCCTTCTCGTTTCCCTGGTTGAATTGGCAAGGTTGGCTGCATTTCTTCGCTTCCCTTCCATATGTGTGATGGTACCAGCAGTATTCCTTCTCGGATTGACGTGAAGAGTGGGAACGGGATGACGAGCGTGAGCGTGACTGGCCGCGATGAAAGGATCGGTTCCGACCTCTGCGAGGAGTGTTGCGTTGGGCGAGTGCTGATATTTCTTCCCGCAGAGTGAACGTCAGCTGGGCCATTTTAACGTTGAGCAACGCGTCGATTTGTGCGTTAATGCTGGCTAAGCTGACGGCCTCAGCGATTTGCGGATGAGGGAGAGTCGCGTCAGCTATCACATCGGCCAGCTCCGACAATTTTTCTAGCTCGGCGTCCCTCTGAGCAGCCAGGGCCACCTGCATCGCTTGTGGAAGTCGGCTGATCCAGATGGTCTTCAGCATCGAGTCCGGAACAGATGTACCTGCAAGGTCACTTAAATACCTTAAAAATTGTGAGGGCTTGCGATCGCCCAGAGTTTCCTTCTCCAACAGCTGTAGTGTTTTCCGTTCCTGAGAGGTGCTCAGCCGTTTGATCAGCTCTTTTTTCAGATGTGTGTAAGGCTCGGCTGCTGGCGGGTTGAGAATGATGTCGCGGACCTCGGTTTGGTATTTTTGGTCGAGTGCACCGATGATGTAGCCGAATTTGGTATCCTCTTGGACGATCTTGGATACCCCGAAGCTTCGCTCCACGACGGCAAACCACAATGTAGGGTCCTCTGGGTTGAATGGCGGGATGCGGACACCTATTGCGTTCACGTTGGCGTTGGCGACGGCGTTGGTGTTGACGTTTTCCATTTTGATAGTGGCTTCAGAATCCGGGTGTTGAGCGTTTCTTCAGATCACGTCGAGGTCACCAATTGTGGGAAATATGCTTTATTACAACAGTAAATTTACAGTATAACAAATAATAATTTAAACTGATTAACTATAAACAATGAACAACGAACAAAATGAACAATTTATGAAAATGATAACTGATCACTGATCACTGGACACTGTGGTTTGATGATTGATAACTAGGAGCAACGGTCCCACTTCTTATATAGGCGGTAGAATGTTCCAGAACAATCGACCGCCGAAGAATCTTCTAGAGGCGGCGGCGGTCGAACGTTCTAGAACATTCGGCCGCTACAAATTTATAATTGTACTATAATTATTATCATTTTCTAATTTATCTTCTGTATCACACAATATATTCTTAAATATATAAAATTAAAAAGTAAATACCTAACAAGAGTTATTATAAATTATTTTTTCTCTTAAAATTGGATATAATGTATATTTTACGACAATAATATTAAATTATTAAATAAATATAAATGGTTAGTTTGAAAAAATATAACTTACAATTAGATTTAGCTCGTTTGTTTGATTTGTGGCCTGTGCTTTCACCAAATCCATAATTAATTTTAATCNCTTGTGCTTTCACCAAATTCATTATTAATTTTAATCGTTTAGTTTTTATAAATTATTTTGTAATATTTTTAAACTAAACGTTCGATGTATTATCGTGATAATAAATAATAAGGATTAATAGAGTGATGACCATCTCGAGACCATAATATTCTTAACAATATCAGTTAAGTAAATTACAAAATAATATATCAAATAATCATTATTTTTTATTTATAAAATTTGACTGAAGTTATGTCACGTACATACCCTTTTTTACTAATGTATGAACATAAGCCAATACACGATAACTCCATTATTTTTCATGTGATATACTAAGTTTTTGCTTAGTATTTGGATTTACCGTGTTTTCGCTTACAAAACATCAAATATATTGGACTTACCGTATATTTTCTTATTTTAAATTTCATTTTTAGATGGGTTTTAATAGGAAATATGCTATTTTTACATAAAAAAACTATGTAAAACCACTAATTTTACCTATAGAAAAAAAAAAAAAATTTTTAGATTTTGGAGTTATCCTGTTTTTGCTTAGCACGGCAGTATTAGACACAATGTTATAAATGCATATGTGTTTACGTGTGAGTTAATTTATTTATAGTATCATTAAAGTGTAGTGTATATTAAGGTACAACCTATACAGTAGGTAATTCATTTGACGCTATATTGTTTAAACCTAACCAAACACTAAATTGTACATTCCCAAACAATAATTATATTATGTCAATTGCCACCGGAATTTCTGGTAATCTTCTTCTTTTTCTTCGCCTTAATCCCAACTACTTGAGGTCGGCCACCCTTATCCTAAACTTCCACTTGACACGATCTCCCACATCATTTACACTCACATCAGCTGTCCTCAAATCGCATTCAAAAGCATCCCTCCATCTCTTTTTTGGTCTACCTCTACTTCTTATTCCTGTGTCTTATATCCTCGTCAATATCACCGCTCTTTTGCACAACTGAATACTTAAAAATTTTCACCTCCTCAATCACGTTCTCGCTTATTGTCATTGATCTCCTCATTTTTACCTACCTCATGTTTCCTTTTGTCAATCCAACCGAAATTTCTGGTAATGATAAAATTAATTGTCATAAAGTGTATGAAATTGGTCTTGTTCTAGTAAACTCAATGGTGGGTAATAACTTTCATGATATAAAACTTAAATTATAATACAATATATAAATATAAAATACAGTTTTACAATATATAATAAAGCTTAATAAAGTTATAACTCTATCTTCAATAACTTCTATTGTTAAAATTAATAATGAAATAATTAAAGTAAACATTGCTACTATTTCAACTAATCGTTATTTTAAAAAAAACCCAGCAGTATCCCGGCACAGGGGGAGGAACATGGTATAATTGGGTCCAGTATAAATTATATGTGACAGTGATTAAAATCATTATCATAAAAAACGCCTTGATGTAAATCTGTAGATAGTGTTTAATTTAAAAAAATTAATGGATTATTACAAAAGCTACATGATCTGCTATTTCCTTATTTATATTCTAATTGCAAGTTATATGCATTAATAGTACGAAGTATGTAATCGCTGGAGGATTTCTCCTCTATAAAGTTTTTTGACACACATATGCATTTATAACATTGTGTCTAATGTAAGTATGTCATAATAAAAATAACCGTAAAATGAAGTAAATGAAAAATTAATTTTAGTACTCATATTAAATGTAATGTAACTCGAAAAATATTTATTTAAATGAAAAAATAGAAGATACCTTTTTTGTTTAAAATTGTCTTTTAAACAACTTTTGTACGAAACTTTTTTTTTATTTAAATATTTTTTGAAAAAATTAAAAAAGCTCAATTCCAATCGATGAGGACTTTTAGTATTACATTATACATATCTTAATTCAACTTAAAAAAAAAAAAATTTGATTGGGAATTTTTCCTTCATTCGCCAAAATTACTTCTTCGTTGACTGGCCTAATATGGGCAGTGTTACATATAATTTTCTTTAAATTTAAAAGAAAACCCCAAATTTAATTTCTGTGTACGCTACTGCTTGGTGTTATTACTCTCCTTGTTAGCTGCATTATAAGGATTATACGTTTGTCCCGTACTTCATTTATCTGTTCTCTGTTATAAATTTCAGAGCCAGAAAAGTGTTTGTTCATCAAATGTGATAATGTCTCATCATCATTGTTTGTGTATGTATTGTTTGGCATTAATATTGCTTCGACGGTTTTGTTCGGTTCATTTTTAGTAAATGTAAAAATCTAGTAGCTGTAGAGAGTTGTTGTAATTCCCCACAAAACTTTTTCTAGCTATCTCTTTTAGACTTTATAAACGCAAATTTGTATTGTATTGAGAATCCCTATAGGATTTCATTACTTTGTTTAAGAGTTTATGAGAACTGTTTTTTAATTTTGACAGGTTAGCGTTCCACTAAGCTACACCTGTGCTATACCTTTCCTTTCTATCAAAAATCAGTTTTTCTTGTATGCCGTAACGATGCACTTCTGAAGGTCAGTTAAGGCCCTTTCAGTGCCTCAAGTATTCTGAGGCTAATATAATTTTTTTACCATCTAGACTAAGCTTGACAAATTAAGTAATGAGCTGGTTTTTATTTTATCATTAACCAAAATACAAGACTTTGATTTGTCTGACTATTTGTAAAACAGTTTAAAGCCTCCTTAGTTTGGTCTAATCTTAAGTTCAATTTGATTACATAGCTATTACTGTGATACAAATTATCTGAATATATAAATTTATATGAATTGTATTATATTGTGACGTATTCAAAAACCTGATGATAACATTTAGGAATATATTAGTTTGGGTGTAACTCAAGTTTCTTTTATGGTCTCTGTATCACATAACCCACTCTGTAGGTGATTCCCCGCCATCATTTCTAGGTGGTGTCCGTTCTTTAGGTAATTCCATGTTTCCCTTCGGGTTTGTAGAGAAGCTTACTTTAGTTCCAGTCGTTACTGAGGGTGGCGGTTTTTCTGGGGCCCTTACCTTTACATGCTTACTTCCTCCTTTTACTTTTGAGTAGAGACTATAGTGAGTCTATTTATTCCTCACCTGTGCCTTTCTCTCTTTTCCTAGTGGCAAGGGGTAATCTTCAGCCATCCCCCGATTCATTAGATTTTGGAGAATTGTTTTTTTCCTATCTTTCTGGGTTGTCATTTGTTTGGTAACATAGGGGGTGAAACAAACTCACCTTTCCAATAAATGGACTGCGTTTGAGTTCCTCCAGCGTGACTATGCTCTTCTTATCCACACTTAAGCATAAACTTCTGTTTCATGGTTGATTTTTCCAGATGTCCATGTTCAATCCAGGTTTTGTTTCCCAAGACTTTCTTGGAATCCTTTGGCAGTCCTGGTATTTAAGTGATATAATATCTACCTCAATATTATTCATATTATTAATGTTATTAAAAATAAATAATACTATTATAATATTTCATTATTTAAAATATAATTTTTATAGGCTAAGGAACATTTAAATAACATTGAATTAAGACTTCAAGGATACATTAGAGCAAACTTAAAAAATTCATCTATGGCTCTATCTGTAGCTGGTCAAACTCGCAAACTTATTGAAGAAGCTACATCAGTCGACAATTTATGTCAAATGTACATTGGTTGGAGTGCTTTTCTCTGATAATTGTTAGATGAATAACTTCATGTGTTATACTTATGTTTATTTTTTTATATTTATATTTTGTTATTGTGCAGTATATGTTTTGCAGATTTGAATTCTTTTTATCCATTTTATTTTAAATGAATGAAGTTAAATTAGATTATGTACCAAAGATTCGAAATTAAAAACTAAATTTTCATTTTAGGGGGAGATAGTAAATATATATTATTCTTTACTATCAAGAATCTTTGTAAGACTAAATTCTGAGTGCGTCCGATCATCCCTTGGTATAAATTAGACATAAAAAATAAATAAAAATGTAATTATGTGTCTATGGTATAAAATTTTAATAGACATTGTCGACCACTCCACTATTAACCGAATAAAAGATAACTTTTAGAATTTAAATTATAATAATATTTACAAGCTAGTGTTTATTTAAATACTAGTGGGGTCGCAGCACAGTGTGGATGTGGCATAGTTGGGACAAGTATAGATGATATCTGACAATGATTATAATCACTATCATTAGAAACACTTCATGCAAATCAGTAAATAGTAGTGATGGGCATTTTCGAATATTTTAAACTATCGAATAACTATTTGAATTGTTTTTATACAAACGAATAGTGTGTTTTTAGCATAAACTATCGAATAGTTTTATAAACTATTCGAATAAACTAGCGAATGGTTTCAACAAATATTCGATTAGTTCTATCTAAAAGTTTTATTAAGTACACTTTTATAATTACAATTATAAGAAGAAAATAATAAACGACTACTTAAAATAAATTATTATACAATTAATAATAGTAAAAAGTACCATTTTAATATTATTTCAGAAGTTATAGCATTTTAAAAAATGAACTGGGATGAGTCGCAGGTATATATTAGGGTGGCTCTTATTTTATTAACTTTCATTGATCGATCTCCATAATCGCCAATTTTGTTTTTTATTATATGAAAATTATTTGTGTAAAATTTGGTTTTGATAACTTACCTCCTTCAGGTCCAAATCAGGGTTGAAAATTCGCTCAAAAAGGTAATTTTTCAGTTTTTGATTATTATTTTTAAAACTAACACACTTAGTGTAACAATGTATAGAATATAAATTATATATTTTAATATTTTCTTCTAAAATGGTATTTACTAAAATTTTCTATAATTATTTTTACTTGCTCCAAAAAATAAAATAAAAAAATAATTTGCTAAAATTCATTTTTTGAATATAAATCATTCTTAATTTTCGAAATAATCATTTTACAACAAAATGTTTCGTAAAAAAAATATGTAAAGTGAAATTTTCAAAAATATATATCTTATGTAAAATTATAGTCAGATTTATAGTTTTGCTGTTTTAATAACACGAACGATCTAAATAGGATTGTTTATAACTGTTTATTCAGGGTTCTACGATTATAAATAGGATACTATTAATAATAAAAAAAATTTGTGATGGGCATTTTCAAATATTTTAAAAACTATTCGAATGGAAGTACCGAATAGTTTTTGAATGACTATCAAATAGTTCGATAGTTACTATTCGATATTTTCCATCACTAGTAAACAGTGTTTAGTTTTAAAAAAATGATGCATATTCCAAAAGCAACACGATTTCCTAATTCCTTATTTATATTATCCTGATTATAAGTTTTATGATATATAATTATTATTATATAAGATAATTAGGTGCTGTACAAAAGTTGTAGTACCTCCGTAAGCCATTTTTGTTGCTATTGTTGTAGGGATGACTGGGGGAAATATGGTCAGTGGATAATACCGGTGACCTCATTATCTAATAAACCCATGCATCTAAAATTATGTTTACCATACGTATAGGTTAAGAATGATAACAAAACCTTATTCTTATTAGGACAATATTAACAAAAAACGTTTTCACGTTTAAATGTGTGAAAATAGCTGTCAGAGTATATTAATCCAAAAAAGAATCAAGAAGATTTTTGTAATGCGACGTGGGCCGCCTTGAAATAATGCCACACAACAGTTCCAGGGTGGTTCACATCAAGTCGACTAAAGGAGGAAAAAAAAGGGTCAAGTCCCTGAAGAGAGAAAGTCACGTCATTCGTGGACCTCTGCATCCTAAAACCGAACTGACCCTCGACCAGTCCGCCTAAGTCAGCTAGATGGTCCTCGATCCCGGTGAACAGCAGTCGCTCGAGGATCTTTTCCAGATACGAGAAGGGGAGACCCTCGTGCTTGTTACTCTTTCTCAGAAACACCAATCTAGCCTTCTTCCACTTCATGATGAATTCACTCTCCAGATGGCACCGGTTGGCGACGGCGCGTATGCAATCCGGGGCGAAGTCGTTAACCAAACACCACAACCGGTTTGCAGTGTTCCGACCCCGCACGTGCGCCACCTCTTGGGTGACGAAATTCTACAACGCCACGTCCCGAACGTCGGGAGAGGAAACAGTCAAATCTAAATAAACTTAAGTATTATAATATTATTAAAACATAAAAATATGAAATGGATATCCTCGAGAGTAAAATAGGGCCAAATAAATTATTGTTTTAGCTTTAATGCGAAGCTGAGAAGGTATTAATTTTACCATTATGTGTTTTTTTTGTCTGTTGCCACATTTCTCAGCTCTCCTGGACCGATTTATTTCAATGATACGTCAAAGGATCAGAAATTGTATCTAGTTGAAGACATTATATAATAAAAATTGATCACTTGTGGCTAATTAATTAAGTAAAATTAAAACTATATTAAAAATATTATTAATTTAAAAAACTAAAAAATATTAAACTCAAAGCCACAAAAAATTAATGAAAAGTCGCGGATACATATTTCGGAAACAAAGTTACCATTATCAACGCTAAACACATACTTATGTGTATGTGTAGTAACTTTGTATGTATGGTAACTTTGTTTCCGAAATATGTATCCGCGACTTTTCATTAATTTTTTGTGGCTTTGAGTTTAATATTTTTTAGTTTTTTAAATTAATAATATTTTTAATATAGTTTTAATTTTACTTAATTAATTAGCCACAAGTGATCAATTTTTATTATATAATGTCTTCAACTAGATACNTGAAGACATTACCCTTAAAAATTGAAAAAATTGTCCTCGTTCTTCATATTATGTACTATAAAACAAAAAAAAAATGTTACCCGACGACTTATCTTCGATGTACAAATAGCTGCCGTAGTTAAAAACATGCTATATTTGTGTTATAATTTTTGTTTTTCGATTTTATATTTTCAAGTTTAAATTGCTATAACTTTTAGAAAAATGTATGTATCAACAAAATTTTTTTTTCTAAATACATTATATATACCTCTTTCATTTAACATACTTTTTAATTATATTAGACAATGTCCCTTACAGGGGCGTTCAAAAACTTACCTACGTATAAAAAAGAGAACTTTTTCTACTTAACTTTTAAAAATATTCCGGAAATACTGTGTTCTTTAAACATATGTTAAAATAAAGCTTACAATTAATACTCTAAATAAAACGTATTTTTTTATTAACTTTGATGACTGTTTTCACCATGAAAACAAAATAAAATCTGAATTTTTTTTTCCATAATAAAGTGTATTACATAAGCTTTAATTTAAAATAATTATATATGTGTCAGTATTTCCGGAACACATTCAAAAGTTTAGTTGAAAAAATTCTACTTTCTACATGCATTTTTTAGATTTGAAACCCCTCGTATATAGGGAAATGGTCCGATTTAAAAAAACATTATGTCGAATGAAAGAAGTATATAAATATCATTTCTCATAAAAAAAATAGTATTGATCCATACATTTTTCAAATAGTTAAAAATGTAAAATATAAAATCGAGAATTGTAACACAAAAATATCACACAGTAGCCATTTACACCGTAAAGACAAAATAAAGTCCGAAATATTTTTGCCATAATAAAGTATATTACATAAGCTTTAATTTAAGGTATACGTAAAAGTGTCAGTATTTCCGGAATACTTTCAAAAGTTAATTTTTTGTGAAAAAGTTGTCATATTAAATCCCCATCTGTGGGCAGGTAAAGTGTTAAATTTATAAAAAAAATTACCAAATGATAGGAAAAGACATCCTGTATCTTAAAAAAAATTATGTTGATTTGGACATTTTTGAAAAATTATGGTAGTTTTAAGTAAAAAAAAAACCCAGCACAGGGGGGTCGCGGCACAGTGGTGACGTGGTATAGTTGGATCAAGTATAAGAATATCTGACAGTGATTAAAATCACTATAAAAAAAAAACGCTTCGATGCAAATCTTTAGATAGTGTTTAATTTTAAAAAATTGGTGGATTATTCCAAAAGCTACATAATCTGCTAGTTCCTTATTAATGTCCTGATTAAGATAAAGTATGTCGAATGAAAAAGGGATTATTAAAAAATAATATTTCTCATAGAAAAATTATGTTGATCCATACACTTTTCAATAAGTTATAGCATTATAAATGTAAAGATAATTTAAAATGTAAAAAATATAAAAAATAAAATCGAGAATTTTCACACAATAATAACATTTGGTAGCCATTTTCACCATGAAGACAAAATAAAGTCCGAAATTTTTTTTTTACTATAATAAAGTATATTACATTAGCTTTAATTTAAGATATATATAAAAGTGTCAGACTTTCCGGAACACTTTCAAAAGTTAATTTTTTGTGAAAAAGTTGTCATTTTAAATCCCCCCCTGTGGGCAGGTAAAGGGTCAAATATAAAAAAAATGTATACCATATAAAAGGTAATGATATCATGCATCTATAAAAAAAAAATTATATTGATTTGGTTATTTTTAAAAAAGTTATAGCAATTTTAGTAAAAAAATTTTGAAAATTAGCGATTTTTAAATTTGTAATTTTTGTGGAGGTTTTCCCCATTTATGGAGAAAGAGGGATTTTTTTTTCAATTTAATAACTCCTAATAGAATATGAACCTCTTAATTTTCACTTTAAGAACCTCTTTAAAACCGGTTCCTAAAAATCTCAAAGGTACCAACCTCTGTTTAAATGAGTTATCTGGGTAGAATTATGTCATAACTATCGTAATTTTATTATGACTCTATGGTTTTCTGATATAAATCATACATGATTTCTAAATCATTGGATCTCAAGATTTTTAAGAAT